TCATTATTTTTCAAATAGCAGAATGAATATAGTGCTATTTCCTATGTAATTAAATATATCTTTTAGCTGATGTTCATTCAATATTTTTAGCCTGCTGACTCATTACAGTTGCCATAGTGACATTTATGGAGCAGTCATATGTCGTAATACATTTAAGGGCTATCAATGGACTAGCACAAGAAGAGAATTCACTGAAACCCAAAGTGCTTCAAATGACATTGTAAAAATGGGACAAGGATTGTCCCACAGCAGAATACCTCTGCACACACACACTGAGTGATAGGTATGGGCTTCAGGGAGCTGTTTGTTCTGCTCCCGTCTCCAGCACAATGGAGGCTAAACTGCAATAGGTACCTGCAATTTTAGTCCTAATGTAACGTACCCAAGGCTGCCCATTTCCCCAGGCTTCAGCTAGTTTAGCTGTCAAGTGAAAATAACGTATGGCACTCGACCTTGTCATCATTCTTTTCCTACCTCTCCCCTGGGTACCCATGGCTGTTCAGAATCAAATGCTGGAGATAGTCAGAAATACAAAGTTTGAGCTCCAGGACAGACCTGACCAGAAATCAAAACCTGTTTCTTACTTCATATGGTAAGAGATGTTTCTCTGCCCAGCCTCCAGTCAGGACTGGGTTTGGCCTGAAGCTCTATAAAGAGCCGATGCCTGCCATCCTGGGGTGAGGGTCCCTGCAGAAGATGAGCGATTGCAGCCACCCAGCACACATGAGATGGTTTGCTTTCAGAATTTCCTTTGAGCTTACCACCTGACCAAACAGTGTTGCCACCACCATCGTCTGTGAAGCATTAACAGCCAGAAAGTGGTATGGGGCCAATTGCCCCGTGTCAGTACAGACTCTCTCTTCTTTGAAGATTAAAGTGAGGACACTACACTACTAATTCAAAAAATTGTGAGGTTCCTTTCCTTTCATTTGATTTGAGTATTTCACTGTCACTTTAAATTAAAAAAAAAAAAGACATGCTGAGAAATGTGGGAAATGGGCATATTTTCTCATGATTTTCTGGTGAATTATTTTCTCTATGTTAAGAGAAAGTTAAAAAGTTTAAAAAACTGAAATTAATTTTAGGGAGATAAGGAGAAGTTATGGAACATGGGTCCATATTTTTTAAAAAATAATCACCTGGAATTTTATAAAAGCAAAGACGATACACACTTTCCTTGTGTTTATATTACAAAGCAAGCAATTTAAAACATTCAATACGTATTTTCAGAAGTTCCCTTCTTTTTAATCTTGCATTGCAGCCAAAGAATGCTAATGGTTACCAAATTGCTTTTGGCTGAGTTGCTTAACCCTTAAGAAAAAGAATAAAGGGGAAAAAGAAGTGTGGCAGGATGTGATTGCAGCATATGATAGCTGTGAACGCCCAACCCTGAGCAGATGGTAACTGATCTGAGAATTGCAGTAGGAGGTCACAGAGAGCATTCTTCTGCTTTGGGTTATGTACATTACGTGGCAATGAGGGATCGTTTCCATGGCTCCTAATGGACACACCAGCTTTGTTAAGAGAGAAGTGAGGTTACAGATCACATCCTGACTTATCCTTGAGCTGTTTAGACTCTTCTCTGTGTGTCCCAGTTGTTGTTGTTGTTTTTTTTTTCCAGAGTTGGTCATCTCAGCAACCAAGCATTTTGTCTCAAGAAGTAGGCTTTTCTCCATGCTCTGCAAACAAGCAATGGGATATCTTGCTGCGTGCACTGAGAAGGGGTGACATGGAGCATGGCTCTCCTCCCTGTCACTAACAGTGATCAGCTTTCCCTACCTACACTGAGCTGCTCATGCTGAGTAATCTGGATGTTTGTGACCACACATTCCTGAGTGGTTCATTCCAGTTCCTTTGTAAAGAGTGGTGTCCCAAAGCTTAGATAATGACTCCATAACTGGAGAGAAGTGGTGTCACATATGGTGGATTGCTTGTTTTCTTGCTTCTTTATAGGAAACATACGGCAATGTTTATATAAGAATAGAAAACAATAGCACACTGCTATCAAGTTAGCAGCAGCTAATGGAACCACACATGGATTGAAATCAAGCATCTCTATCTACACCAGGACTCTGGTTTGCTGATGTCTGTTCACGTCCTGTTTTATTTGGCTTGAAGGGAAGTTTTATTGTTTTAGGTTTTTGATTCCTAATTGGAAGGAAATTGTGTAGCAAGATGTTTTATTTGTGTTTTTCACTCCTCTCTGTGCTTAATTAAATTACTTTATTAGCAGAAATAATAAATTCTGAGTATACTGAATTATGGCTGTGTAAAAATTAAAATCTATTCATTTGTTTGACTGTACTCCTTGTATCTCTGACTGAAAGACTTGTGGCTTGAAAATTAGAAGTGGCCATCTAGAGATGGGACACAAAGTGATGAAAGGCAGAACTGGGCTGTACTTGTACCACACACTTTTCTCTATGGCTAGCCAGGTAACTTTGAGGAAGTTTGGTAACCTGACTCAGCCTCAGAGGCTTGTATGCACTTGTACAAAAACTATACTAGCCTTTCTTAGCAGTCCATGGGATGAGCAGTAAAGCATTCCCTACAAGGCCTGGCTTGGAGGAAGTGCTGCAGACCTATTTCCTGTCATCGTAATCAGTGAACAGGATACTCTACCCTGGTACCGTCCTTGACACTCTGAGTTGCTCAATACTAAAAAGAGAAAAACCAGTAAAACCAGTGATGCTGCTTTTTATCAAATGTCCCATATACCTGGGTCCAAACTGCAGCTTCTCCAATCTCTATGGACTAGGTGTGATTTACCATCCCCATTTCATGGAAGAATAAACTGGGAGTTTACATCAAAAGGAAAGGCACACAGCTAAAGATTGTTAAGCATGGGGATCCAACTCAGACTGGATAATTCCAAAGCCTAGACTCTTCATCTCTCCTGGTCACAGCTCGTGCATCTCTAGAAGCTCCTTTGTTTACATTATGTTTTGAGCACCCATCTATCCTGCCATTGCACAGTGACATTGCAAAGTCCCTGTCTCTGGGATTTCTACTCTTTTGCAATTCAAGAAACTGAGAAAGCACTTAGGAGATGTGTTAGAAGCCCTAGTAAGTTAGATCCATGCAACTACTTTTACTTTGGTTTTAAAAAGGCTACAAGTTCATACTCAAACTTAAGTAAAAGAATTTGTCACATCCTGAAGACAGAGAAGGCAAGGTTCAAGGTGTGTTGATATAAGGAGAGATGGGGTGACTAGTCATTCTCCTTGGTAGTCAGGAGTGCCAGTTGCTGTATAAGGAATAAAATATAAATGATCCCACCCTTCTCTTTAGTGTCAGGTATGGCCACTAAACTGCTAACTAGCTCCACTTTTAACCTAAGCAGCATGTAGTTAAGAACGTTTCACCTGCCTTTCTTGTTGAAAACACAGGATCTGTCTGCAACTTGGGAACCTTCACACATAAGATTGCCCAACTCTATTTTCATTTACAAGATATATTATAGTTTTACTTTTCTCCTTCCTGCAGTGTTTGGAGTAGCGGTAGAGCAGAGAAAAATATTAAGACTGCCAGATTACACATCTACTGCTAACCTTGCAGCAATATTCAGTTAGATGAGCCCTTCATATAGGGTATAAGTATGAATATGCTGCACATTAGTAATTCAAATGGTGGTACCAATAGGCAGTAGCTACAGCTGAGAGCAAAGATAGCTGCATTTATTATAAGTACCTTGGACCTTTCACTGAAAATTAAATGAAGACACAGCTATGAGTAGGATCCTGCTTTGCTAACTTCATTTTTTAAAAACAGTATTACTTGTTTTAGAATTGTGTGCAGTGTGTTTTGATCATATTCACCCCTCCCCAAACTCTCCTCAGATCCATCACCCCTAACTTTGTGTCTTCTGTTTTTTCTTCTGTTTTCTCCACCAAGACTAATTTTGCTGCCCATATATCCTTGAATGTGGAGCCTTCCACGGGAGCGTGGTCAGCGCACCATGGGCTGTACTCCCACAGAAAATTGACCGTTTCTTTTCCAGCAGTTCACAATTGCCAATCACTCCAAAGCTAGGGATAGAATTTTGTGCCTAACCCCTCATCTGTGCTGAGATTTGATCTGACTTGAGCTTGCACATGTCACAACAGCTGTGTGTTTTTGTGTACTGCTACCCTGCTCTGTCCAGAAGACACTGTCTCCTGTAGTCATCCACCACCTCTGGCTCTTATAGATTTTCTGCCCCTTCTTTGGCAATTACCTCTAAGTTTTGGGAGGATGAGGTGCGGTATATTCAAGTTAAGACTGAGAATTCTGAAATCTTTTATCTTCTGCTCCTGGCCCGTTGCTGCTTTGTGTGTTAATCACCATCCGGTGCAAATAGAAGCTTCTTTGATGAGGAGTGAAAGATGCATTAATCTATGGGTATAACAATAAGTCATTAGAAGTCAGTCTAATACTATGTCCATTTAACAGCATAATAGTATTAGTTTCTTCCCTAGGAACTGTGATTTGTCTAGCCATAGGTTCTTGGCCTGATAACGGCACTCAGCCTGGGTTTCATCTTCTGGAGCAGGACTTAAATCCAATCAGAAGGTGAAAATGCCTGGTTATTCTCATGACATTGTGTCACAGTTGCACCAGTGGGCATGTCTTGCTAGAGCAACTATTCTTTAGCTTACAAGGTACATAGTTGGGTAAGATTGATGTTTCCTTTACTTCTCCTGCAGAATACATAGCACATTCTAATACAGTAGTGCCTTAAGCAAAGTGGTTCAAAAACTATTATTGTTATAAAAATCATGTGCAGTTCTATTACATTCCCTCCATTACATTTTTTGTAACTTTCCAGTTAACTCTTTGGTTTGGCAAACCCCAGGATGGGAAATTGTACATGTTAGAACCATCAGGAAATACACAGAGTAGATATTGATCAGGGCAGAGCAGTATTATTTTGATAACAATTTGTGAGGAGGTGAATTATTTGATAGCACAGAAGCAGTAGATGGGAATCAAACATTTATCTCTTTTTAAATTTTATTTAGGCCAATGTTTCCAACTACAGTCTAGTGATGGAGTCTGACTCTGGAACCTACTTACCCACTGGGCTGCAGTTCACCGGCAGTGACAAGGCCAGGGCTATCATGAAGGAGATCATGAGTCTGCTGCAGCCCCTCAATGTCACCAACGTCTTTAGTGATGGAGAAGGAACAGATATTAACTTCTGGATCCAAGCTGGAGTGCCTGGTAAGACCAAAAGTGAAGATGATGTCCTGTATGCTGTCACCAATTCAAATAAAATCTCTACTTAAATGTCCCAGTGGTTACTGCAGACCACACATGCACGTTCTGTGTCTTTGTCACTGAGGTCTACTCTGGTTATTTCCACAGTTGGGATAATGGTGCCTATTCTGCATTTGCTTCTCCTCTGTGCTTCCCTCTCCAAGATCTGCAGTGAATGATTCCAGAATTCAGCCTACAAATCTGCTGTTGATTTTGATTTGTTTTTAAGAATATGTTTGATGATTTCACAACCAAACTTTGAGAAATAAAGTAGAAGGCAGTCAGTGCTGACAACTTCTATCCTAGCCTCTACTAGGGACCCTCACTGACTTTGATGTGCTATACCCACACACTGTTGTATCTGAACTGTTACGATGAAAGATTCACTCTTTGAGGGTGGGATGCTTCCTTATAATTGTGTTTGATAAGAGTTCGGACATAGGGCTGAGAAGATGGCTCAGTGGGAAAAGTCACCTGCTATCAGGATTTCAAACATGAGTTTGATCTCCAGGACCCAGATGGTGGAAGGGAGAACCAACTCTCATCTCTGACTTTGACAGGAACACAAGCATGACCACACACACACATACACACACACACACACACACACACACACACACACACACACACACAAATACCATAGATTGGGCATAAACTGACTTACCCTGATTGGTGATTTGTGGTATGACTCTCCTAAACAGAACTCTTAAGCCAGGGACAGAAATGAAATTATGAAATGCAAATACACCTAGGAGTTATAGGAACAGAGATGGGAACAGATTTCAAGAATATAAACTTGTGCTGTTTTACAAATTTGCCCAAAACAAGCCATGCAAAGACTTATTGGTATTGTTTATGAACCTACATTGTGCCTCCAATACATATCATAATCAAATACATATCCATAGTCAAAAGGACTATCCAGATATCCATCTGCAAATTGTTCTGCATTTGCATTATATAAATGGAAAGCCTACCCTTTCAGCTATTTAACATTACTGTTTCCAGAACTCTCACATGATATATGTACAAAGATAGGCTCTCCAGGTCTACTTTTGTCACTGTGTTTCCTGCTTACAAACAGATTCCACCAGCAGCTACACAGATTCACATTTTAAAGAAAGTCTGTTCTTGAGATATTGTGAGTTTTAAAGTCATATTTTAGGTTTGGAAATTTACAATAATATCCATAACTAAAAATTAGGTCTTTTCTTTGTTATAATGGAAGATTCAAATTCTGTCCATTTGTCCTATGCATATTTTAACAAAAACTTCAAATTCTCTGAAATCCATATTTCCATTTAGAATGGTGCACAATTATTTGACATATCCAAAACATTATATATATGATCTGTGGATGTCAAAATATAGGGATGAAAGCTTGTGCTTTGAGTGGCATGGGACCATTTGATCAAATTTTACATTTTCTCACTGAGCCTTCTTTTGGGAACCACTAAGTCAGCTGCTGTGAGGAAAGGGCTAGTGAGTCAGAGTGAAGTGGACTGGAGACTGACCAGCAGTGGCCAAAGAGGCAGGAGGAGCTAAAATCTACAGCAGAATTGAGAAATAAAAACCTTATACCAACCCCTGCGCCACCTTGTTTTGCTGTGTTTGATCACAAGAGCCTGTCACCTTATTCCTTCCAATGTCTATGTTCCATAGGACTTGATCTGCATAAAATGAACAGGTAGATTGATTACTGCCATGTAAGGTAATGAGGTACCATCCCTCTTAGCCTCAGCAGATCAGGTTTGATTTTTCACATAGCAGAGGGGAATGAGAAATCTGTGCCTGTTTGGGTTGCAGAATTAGTAAGGTGCACTTTACTGACCTTCCGCCATTCATGAGGCCCCCAGTCAAACTTCCTTTAAAACGCTGTCTTTAATCTGAGACCATCCTTTGGAATTTGGTACAATTTACCCTTATTTTAAAGATGGGGAAATAGACTCAGAGATATTATATGACTTTCACAAGTCAGAGTCAACCTGAGATCAGGCCATTTTGATGTCCAGGGTGCTGGCCTTTTCCGCACACTATGCAGCAACACAGAGGAGTCTAGACAGTGTCTAAAATGTTTGTCTTGTTCAGCTTTTGCTTATGCAAAGGATTTCAGCTCATTACTTCTGGGAGAAAGGAGTTTGTTATTGTAAATAAGTGCTTGTTTCTCCTCACAGTCCTTGTTCTCCTCCTTCCTCATCCAGGTCCGCAGGTTTTCTGTAGAGTCAGTATTTCATTTTGGATGACTATGAATGTTTTCCTATATTCTTTGCTGTTTCCTTACAGTATTGTGAGATGGAAGCACAGGGTTGACACCTGTCCATTGCTACCATGAAGATACCTTTAAAACAAATATTGTTACCTGTTTATGTGTGTGTGTGTTACTATGTATGTGTGTTGCTGTGTATGTGTGTTCCTGTGTGTGTGCATGTGTACATGTGTATGTGCATGTGTGCATGCTTGTGTATGTGTGTGTATGTATCTGTGTGTTTGTACATATACAAAGGCACACATCAGAGGACAACTTTCTGGGAATTAGTTCTTTCCTCCCATCCTGTAGGTACCAGAATGCAGGCCATCAGAATGCAGCAGGTACCTTTATCCACTGAGTCATCTTGCCGGCCCTAAGCTATCTTTTGTTGTTTCAAATTTGGGTTATTCCTGGAAGAGATGATGGTACTGCTCACCCTGTAACACATGGGATAATGAAACATTCCAGAACTTCAGAAAAAGATAACAACCATAATTGACCTGAAAGAAAATGGAAGTATACGTCATGTTTATTTCATGTGCAGTCTGTATTCCTGAAGCCGAGGCACCTGATACCCACCTGCCCTAGGGCAAGGATTCAAAATACTGTTTAAACGATGCTTTGCATTACTGCATATCAAAGCTCTATTTTTTCTTCTTCTCTCGTTTCTTCTATTGATCAAAAAAACACTTATTGATCCCTCCTTGTCTTCTAAACCTGTTAAATATCCATAATCTGATGTCTGGGCCTCAGTTTTTCTTGAGTGTTTCATGTATGCTTAATAGAAAAACTAGTAATTGAGAGCACAGATTGAATTAAATTCAGTATGATTTTCACTAATTATTGAAGAGAAGTAGGTCAGTTTATGAAAATGTCATCTTTGGGAGAAGAGAGAGAAAGTCCTGCTGAGCAAGATGAAATCTGTAATGGATTTTAATCCAACAGGACGATGAATTAGCAGCAGAAATAGAATACTTCAGGTAGAAAGAGATTTAATACAGTGTTTGGGGTGTACTTTCCTGCTAAAGCTCTTCCCTTGAGATCTCAGACCCCAGCCATCCCCCTGCCTCCACCGACATCTCTGTTCTTCCTCCTCTTCAGTACAGTCTTGTGTTCGCAAATCCTACCTCAGTCCACAGTGTTCTGTAGCCCTCTGATTTTCTGCAGCACTGTGGTGTTCACCCACAGCCTGGTCCTTTAGTTGCGCACACAGCCTTGTTTGTGAGTTATTAGAAGTTTGGGTGCATCCTGCCTCCTGTGGTCACTGACCCATTTCTTCAACTTTAAGGTCAATTCTTTCTATTTTTTAAACATCTTCTATAGCTTTTAGTTTAATTGGGGAAAATATTTGAATTCTTGTCATTATGACCTGAGAGAAGAAACTAAAACATTAAAGATCATTGTTTTCCTGATAAATGTTTATTCTCTTATAATAAGAATATGGAGAAAATAAAAGATGTTGAGGAAACAATCTCCAAAAGTTTAAAATATTTGAAGAAAATATATACATTAGCCTGAAACAAGTAGGCTCATTTCTCTTACATGGAAAGAAATGGAGAGATGTTTATATTTGGGGGTTCTCTTTCCCCTCTGGGCCTGGTAGCCAACAGGCCCAGAGGGTAAAGAGGAAGATAAGGTGACAGAAAGCTTTAGTGGCCCATGAGCATAACAGAGACAGCCCTCCAGGAGACAGATTTTGGTGAGTCAGCTCGATTTTATTACAGAATATAAGGAATATATAGGATTGGGGAACCTGGGGACAAACCCTAATTTGCATAAAGTGGCACACTCCTATCATGAGGCTAAGTCTGTGGCAGCAGGGTCCTATAGCAGAGTCCCTAGCACAAACCTTCTCAACAGGGATCTGAGTGAAAGGTCAAGCTAAAGATGAATCAGGCATCTGGTTTTAGAGACAGTTTTTAGATAAGATCAGTCCCCAGGCCCAGGGACATTCTCCAATTAAGGGCAGGTAGAGAGCAGGAAGCTTTGCTTAGGGAGGGAGCTCCATGTTGCCGAGCTTTTGAGATAAGATGCCAGGCCATGGCAGACTACGACTTCTATACAGCCAGCAATATCTCCAACATTTATAAACTTATCTTCTAGTACACCAGTAAAGATGCTTATAAACATGCCTTCTAGTACACCTGTCCCGACTCCCTCAAGGGCAGTATAAGAGTGACATTACAATGACCTCAGGCTCTAAACTGCTCTCAGTTAGTACCATACAGACTTTGAATATTGAGTAATTGCTTGATGTTCTCAGTTTGGGTTTTGGCTTAGGGTGAAGTGATGAGGGTGAAGTGATGAGACTCTTTCTTGTTATTGTTGTTGGTCTGATGCCTCAGTGCTGAAGCATATGGTCTCAGTTGCTTAAATACATTAAAAAAAAAAAGAAAGAAAGAAACACACACACACACACACACACTCACACCTGATGAGAAAATTAGATGAGGCTCCTCTTATTCCACATCTCCCAATAAGCTCCTTCCTCTGCTACAGGATCTAAAGTGTTTCCTAATTGTAGTGTTCTGGAAAGAATTACAGGCCTTGAGTGTGTGCTCTGCATCACAGCTTCTAACTATATGAGTGAAAGATATGGTTCTCTTTCTGAAGATTGCTCATTTGTTACCCAGTATCCTGACTAGTCCTTTGCTGTGACACTAGGGAGTCAGAGACACATATAGACAAGATCTATACCCTTGCACACCACGCTGTC